ATTTTGCTAACAATTCTATGCCGTATAGAATCTGAAAGGTATAGAATTTAGAAAAACATCATTGTAGCTTAAACCTAAACTTAGAAAACCCACAAATTCCTAGTAAATCAAAGTAAGAAAAATAAAAATAAACAATACTCAAAAACCCAACCAACTCTTCATATATGTGTGTATATATTATCTGTATAGGTAAAAATCTTCATATATGTGTGTAAACAAAAACCCATAAAAGTGCACCCAAAATTAAAGAAAAACAATACTCACAGAAAAAAAAAAAGAAAAAAATTGGTAAAAATCTGTAATCAATATATAAAAAGTGCAACCAACTCTTCAATTGATGATCTCTGTGGCTTCAAAGAAAAAAAACAAAAGGATGAAAACAGAGACTAAAATATAGTATCCCTTTCTTTCTCAATATATATATTTTTTTTCAGTTTATAATTAACCCCATAAACTGCACCAAATAAAGCAGCATGTACCCTAGCATTTATATAATCAAAATCAATAATCCCATCAAAATGAATATAATCAAAATCAAAATCAAAAATTACAAAATCAATTAGAAACTTTATAAATATTAATAATTAAAATTGTAAATTTTTTCATGAATAGTATTTTTTTTTAATTTTTTTTTTTTTCTGAATTCCACTATAGTGCAATTACCCCAAATTAATACTTCTCCATATATTACTACACATTGCTCAAAAATGAAGTTTGAAACTTAAATATAGATAATAAAAGCTTTCAATGCAGATTAGTGACAGAACAGAAATTACATAAACATGCACATTGGGTTTTTGGGTTTTTAAACTTAAGCAAAATAGAGAACTTTTCGGTGCAACTAATTGTAAAGCTATTCCATGAAAATCATGTTTGGAGGAATATGCATTTTCAAAACTCAATAGGTAGTTTGGCAAAACTGCTATCCCATTCATAACACCAGTTGTAACAAATTAATGATTCTGAAACCCAATGAGCTCTAAAATCAAATCTATTCATATTAAACTCTAAATTAGAAAGTTTCATAAAAATTCATATCATCAAAATCAATAATCTCATCACTGAAAAAGAAACACCACCCAGTATTTCAACATATTTCTGGTTTGAACATAAAAGAGATTCAATCATGGGGTAAAACAACACCACCCATGTATTGATTTCTCATATATTAGGGGAAATTAATAATGTCCACTCTTAAAATGATGCACATCATATTAATAAAATTTGTTTATTTGTCCACAAAAAAAAAAGAGAATAATTAATTTGAAAACCAATAATTCTAGAATTTTGCTAACAACTCTATGCCGTATAGAATCTGAAAGTTATAGAATTTAGAAAAACATCATTGTAGCTTAAGCCTAAACTTAGAAAACCCACAAATTCCTAGTAAATCAAAGTAAGAAAAATAAAAATAAACAATACTCAAAAACCCAACCAACTCTTCATATGTGTGTATATATTATGTGTATAGGTAAAAATCTTCATATATGTGTGTAAACAAAAACCCATAAAAGTGCACCCAAAATTAAAGAAAAACAATACTCACAGAAAAAAAAAAACAAAGAAACAAATTGGTAAAAATCTGTAATCAATATATAAAAAGTGCAACCAACTCTTCAATTGATGATATCTGTGGCTTCAAAGAAAAAAAACAAAGAGATGAAAACAGAGACTGAAATAAAGTATCCCTTACTTTCTCAATATATATATTTTTTTCAGTTTATAATTAACCCCATAAACTGCACCAAATAGAGCAACATGTACCCTAGCATTTATATAATCAAAATGAATATAATCAAAATAGAAATCAAAAATTACAAAATCAATTAGAAACTTTATAAATATTAATAATTAAAATTGTAAATTTTTTCATGAATATTATTTATTTTTTTATTTTTTTTCTGAATTCCACTACAGTGCAATTATCCCAAATTAATACTTCTCCATATATTACTACACATTACTCAAAAATGAAGTTTGAAACTTAAATATAGATAATAAAAGCTTTCAATGCAGATTAGTGACAGAACAGAAATTACATAAACATTCACATTGGGTTTTTGGATTTTTAAACTTAAGCAAAATAGAGAACTTTTCGGTGCAACTAATTGTAAAGCTATTCCATGGAAATCATATTTGGAAGAATATGCATTTTTAAAACTCAATAGGTAGTTTAGCAAAACTGCTATCCATGCATAACACCAGTTGTAACAAATTAATGCTTTTGAAACCCAATGAGCTCCAAAATCAAATCTATTCATATTAAACTCTAAATTAGAAAGTTTCATGAAAATTCATATAATCAAAATTAATAATCCCATCACTGAAAAAGAAACACCACCCAGTATTTCAACATATTTCTGGTTTGAACATAAAAAAGATTCAATCATGGGGTAAAACAACTCATTAGAATCATACTAAATCGGGCACACTTCATCATATCATACACCACAACATCAGCATTTCTGGCTCCAGTCATTCAACTGACCTTTTTGAATGATGCCATTCTCGTTCAAGTATTCAACAAATTCAAGTATTCAACAAACTCTTCAATATATACACACAAAGGGATGATCTCTGTGGCTTCAATATATATACACACAAAGAAAACAAAGGGATGGTATGTGAAGCGCCAAAAAAATTTGGAGATAAACAAATATAGTGAACCTCACCAATTTGTTGCCACGATGACGCCGATTTGGACCTACCGATCTAGCAAGGCTAGCACCCAACAAACTCTCCATCTGCGAAGTCGCCGATCTGCTCTTGAATGAGAGAGAGAGAGAGAGAGAGAGAGAGAGAGAGAGAGAGAGAGAGAGATGGATAGAAGGGAAGAAGAGATCTGCTCTTGAATGAGATCTCCTCTTGACTCAAAACAAAGAAACTCTTCTCTTGAACACCGTAGGATTGAATCACCATTGTAAATCCACCATTGAAATATAATGTCTCTTGGACATTTCTTAGCTGTTGGATTGATTCAATGTAACGGTTTACATTTTGACACAAGAACAACAGTCCCATCAAAATTCAAAAACTACTCTCCCTTATTATATAGATTAGAAAGTGTGATTTGTTCAGATCATACTATTAGAAAATATTGTTTGTTCAAATCATACAATTAAGAAACGTTTTTTTATTTTTAAATTTACATTACCTTATTGAAATGGGCTTGTCTAAAATACGATGCCCAATTAAAATAATAAATTTTATGTTAATGGATGAGATGGTTTATTGAGGAAACCAATACCAGAATTTGAAAGTTTTAAGTGGGAGAACTTTTTTAAAATTTTTAAGTTCTGCTTTGCGAGGAAAGAGGCCAGGTGGAGGTGGGTATACGGCATGGTTGGGGAAGAAAGCACGGGACTCGTTGGTCTGGAAGCGTGCACTGTGCTGTGCCTAATATTAATTTTAGTCGGTGGCGATGTCATTATTAATTTTACGCATGTAATGAAACGAAGCTTTTAAACGTGTGGTGTATCAACCGCATTGCATCCATTCTCTTCAAAAAAAAAAAATAAATAAATAAAAAATACTTGTACTAAAATTTAAATTTGATATTGTCTTAATTTGATTGAGGAATTTAAATTTTTTTTAAAGAGTATAAAATTAAATAAAATATAGATATATTTTATTTACGTTTCACTTATTATTATTATTTTTAAAATTTTTTCTTAAATCTCTTAACCACACAGAGTGAAAAATGACTTATATTTATAATTTATTATCTTTCATATTTACATCTCAATATGAAAAAAATTAAAAAATATATGAAACTTATCATAAATTCTGTTTTAATAATTCGAACCGTTCAATTTATAAAACTCTCAATAGATATCATCCATAAAAATAATTTGATTGAATAATCATAACCATTTCATTTTATCACCGTCTATTTCTAAAAAAATTGGACAACAAATATATTTTAAAAATAAATCTTTCATTTTTTTAAAAGACAAACAATAAAATGAAAATATTAAGTTATCAGATCGATCTAATTTTTTTAATAGATGATATATATTGAAGACCCTACAAAATAATCAATTTAAATCATCAAAACAAGATTCATGATAAGCCTTTTGGGCTCTCAAATTCTCTTATGTTAAGATGTGAAGATGAGAAATGTTCAACGATTTACTAAAATTATTGAAACCTTAAAAAGTTCCAACCACCACTCACCGCTCTTCGCTACTATTATCGATTGTCACATTCAGTCACCATGACCTCCTCCGACAATCACTTCCAACCACTATCTCTTATCAAAAAACTAGATTTGGCAATCACCTCCAACTACTTTCCTCCACCACCTCTAATGTCTAACCACTTTCTTATAATAATAGAATTTTAACATTTAAAACAAAATCTACTAAAATAATATAATTGAAACAACCGTCAAAAATAAAATTTTGTACAATAATCTTATAACCAAAAAAGGACTGATCAAATTACATCTGAACTCACAGGATAATCTCCTAAACTTGCATCTGAAATCACAAAATCACTTCACAGTCACAAAGCCTAAAAGCATTGCAGCAAAGTACTGTTATTCACCTCACCAGCCATTATAAAGCAAAAAAATAAAAATAATAAATAATAAATAAATAAATCATCATGAAGATCAGATACATCCACAAGAGGAGCAAGTTGATAACCAAAGCCTCTAACAGAGTCAGCAGGTATACCAAAGTATAATCACAGACACAAACCGATTGACCAAAAAAAGAGGAGCAAGTTGATAACCAAAGCCTCTAACAGAGTCAGCAGGTATACCAAAGTATAATCACAGAAACAAACCGATTGACCAAAAAAAGAGGAGCAAGTTGATAACCAAAGCCTCTAACAGAGTCGGCAGGTATACCGAAGTATAATCACAGAAACAAACCAAATGACAAAAAAAAAACAAAAAAAAAGACAGCAAAAGAAAAAAAGTTAAGGTCACTCAGGTACTAGTCATGTCTCGGGTAGAAACCATTTACAGACATCCCACCGTCAACGCAAATTACCTGGCCAGTGATGTAAGATGATGCAGGTAAGCAAAGGAATGCAACCAGAGATGAGACCTCCGTTGGATCTCCAAGACGCCGAAGAGGAGTCCGGGAATATACCTCTTCCAAATATTCTTTGTTGCTGAGCACCTGGTAACAGAGGAAGTGATATCACAAAAGCAGAGCTTATTTGAAAAGCAATTACATATTATCACAGAATAACATGCATTGATTGCAATATTTTCACCAGTATCAGGGTCTTCATAAAATGTTTTCAATGTATTACCCAGGCCCAAATTGATGACCTCAAAATTTAATACCATGTTCCTTGTATAAATAGAAGCAAAAAGGAGAATGGCATGTATTACTAATCTGTGCAAAAAAATTTCTTCCTAACTCATCATACTTAATAATCATAAGTTGAGTACTATTCATGTTTTCTAATTCAAATATTAGATCAAAATTTACAGAAATGAAGTATTGATATAGATACTATACTCATTTTGGTTTGCTTTGTCTCATTGTAATTTCTGTTTCCCACAAATTCCCATTTGGAAATGTAAGAAAAATCCTTTGAAGAAAGAATTCCCCACATGACCCTTTGTATAACTAGGATGATCATTGCAATTGTAAGCCCACTATGGACCACCGTTGTAGACCCTAAAGCAAAGCACTATCAGAGAGGTTGTCATAGTAAGCAACAGTCGAAGTTTCAATGCTGTTGTAGGAGAAAGTAAAAATAACTGAAAAGAGAGTAATAGACCATTGGGCATAGGCAAAAATCAATAAAGTGACCTACCTTACCCAAGGATATTAGAAATTATGCTTGCCTATGCTTGAAACACCACATCATTCGTTGGGTACATGTGAGTGAAAGTGGAATCAATGAATCAACTATTGCAATATATCATAGTCAGTCTAAAACCAAATTTTGCTAAGGATAAAACAAAAAATACAATGTCTGTTCTTAGCATATGTACTCATCTGCTTTCGGTTTCACAAGGATTTCTAATGGGCTTCAACCTTGATCATGGTTTTGAATTTTGGTAATTAGTCAGTGGAACTAGGGTCCCCATGTTTGTTGGCAACACCAAGATTTTAGTCCTACATTTGATTGCAGAATAAGGAAGGGGGATTATATGTCGGGGAACATCAGACTCACATGTTTTTTTTTGTCCAGTGTCTGTTTAGCATGGTATTAAAACTATGGATAACCTTAATATTGATAAGGGGGATTAAATGGAGAAAAATAGGGGATTAAGTAATAGATTAGGTATTGTGGTATTAGGGGGATTAGATCTCTCAGGATTATTTTTCAACTCCATCCAACGGTTAAAAATAATTATATATTTTTATCTCATCCTAATCAAACATAATACCCTCCCTCTATCCAAGCCTTTATCCCATCTATTTATCCCATCGTTATAACTTAAGCCTACCATATATCAAATCCTTCTTTTCATCAAATCCCATGGTATAACTTATCCCACACAATCCTATTAATAGTCCCGTCGTATCCAATCGCATAAAAAATAAGCGATTAAACGTGCCTAATTGTATTAAAAGAATGTTAGGGTTTAAAAAATTAACCGCAAATTTTTTATATAGAAAAAACTTTGTTTTGGGGGTTTTTTTTTTTTTTTTGGGGGGGGGGTGGTTTTAGAAAAGGAAAAATCCAAACAAGGTTGAAGAAACAATTCTCTTTAACGATAAGGTAAAAGAAACAATTCTATTCAGTGCAGATGTACATCCGAAAAATCTTGTAACATACTTCATCTATTTCTCTACAATGGAGTTGGAAATTAAAGAATTATTTCTTGCTCACCTTGTAAGAATTAAAAAAACAGAATTTGGTCTAAAAACTGACAGTCAAACAAATGAAGAAAAAAAAAAAGTCATCAAAAAGCCGGCCATTAACATATCAATTTGGAAAAAATTTGCTGACATAATTGCTAATAAATTCACAATTTAAAACTATAGCATAACAGAATTACACCGTATATGACAAAAGTAGTACAAAGGTACTTCTGATTGCTTCTTCAGGCCCATCAAATGGAACCAGTTAACAGAGTGGATGAACGATGCCATTGTTTTGTGAGGAAAACAATCATTGATGTTGCAAAAACTTCACCATTCAACATTTTAGAGTAACAAAAGGCAAAATGGGGATGTCACTCAGTTCTGAGGTGCTGGACTATGATTGGTCTAAGAATACTTTAAGGACCTAAAACAAATTATGAATTACAAAAGAAGGTGAAAAGGAAATTACTTGCTCCACCATAGAAGTTTTGATATACCAAGGTGCAACAGCGTTACTCCTGATATTGTCTTCTGCCCACTCACATGCCAAATTCCTTGTAAGTTGATTAATTGCTCCTGGGAGTGATGAATAAACATGATTACAACCTTTTTGTTACATAAACTCTACAAGCATACCGCAAAATCTTGCAATAATGATCAGATCAAAAAAGTAAATTACCTTTAGTTGCTCCATGGACAGACATAGACTTCAGCGACACAAAGCCAGAGACAGAGGAAGTGAATACAACACTTCCTGCTCCTGATGCTTTTAAAAGAGGATGTGCAAGTTGGCACATATGAAAAACAGATTCGAAATTCGTCGCAAAGAGTGTAGCATATTCTTTGGCAGTGAACTCTACCATTGGCTTCCTTATGTTGGTTCCAACATTATTAATCTATAGATTTAAACCACAAAATCCAATGGCCTCGTAAGTTCAGTAGATGGGAAAAGCACGATGAAGTGATGCATCGCAATTCTAAAATGTGGATCCCTAGAAAAGAAGATATACTGATCGTAGCTGGCACTCTTTAAGTTCAAATCTCACCACATAAGGGAAGAATCAGTAAAACATCTAAGTTGCAACCATGTTTGCAAACTAGAAAATATGGATGGATAAAATTGACTAAGATGTTTATGTCCACTTTAAATTTTGTTTAAGATGGATTGAAATGAATAAATCTTAATATTCCATGGAACAAGTTGATGCCATGGGTTTCTGAAGCACTTATCAGAACAAGCTCACAAAGCACAGAGGTGTTGAGAATAAATCAACATTCGTAAGCTTTCAAATGTTGTTGGCAGTTAAAGAATGGTATTGATAATTTGCTAGCATAATTTCTTCTGTTAAACTGAAACTTATCGTTAGAAAGGGTTTACACAATACACAAATCACTAGAACCATTAATTTTGCCAATCCTTGTAACCTAAGAAGTACGGACACGGATACGGACACGTGACACAACATGAATACAACATGAACACACCAGCATGACAATTTTCAAAAAGTGCAAGATATGATACGTGGGGCACACGCACAAAATATATAATTTTATATATTTATATATATGAATACATCATTGTAAGACAATAAATAAATGCAATATAATATTAATTTCTATAAACTGACATTATTTTTATTTTATCATCATAATCTAAGTTATTTGTTCAAACTTATAATTAGTTTCGTGTGTCTAATCAATATACACATGAGTTTAAACAATGGACACGTGTCTCCTCAAAGTGTCCAATCCAAAGAGTATCTGAGTCTAAATTTTTTTTAAAAAAATTAGGACACGGTTGGATGAGCATCAAACATGTGTCGGGAAAGTGTCCGACATGGACACGACAACAACACGCCACCTTTTTAGAAGGGTCCATGCTTCTTAGCTTGTAGCTTGTCTCATACAATACAATTGATAATTAGGACCTCTTATCAACAACTTGGATGTCTTTGAGCCATAATTCCATTATTGCCTCAACTCAATTGCATCCAATGTAGAAAAGAGTTACTTGGGCTGGGGTAGAAACAATACCGTAAAAATTCTGCGAAACTGTAAAGCTTCTTTGGGAATATTATGACTGTATTTGGATCATGGATTTCGGTAGAGACTTGGAAAGAAAAATGGAAAATGTGAGTGAAATATAGTTTATATTTTATTTACATTTCACTCAACTTTTTTCCCTTTCCCTTTCGCTTTCCCTTTCCTTTTCCATTTCTAAATCCTTATTCAAATCCATGATCCAAACACAGCCTCTATGAATTCTGGATAAGACCATTTCAAGCCCCAAATGTATTTCAGGCAGTATGTCAGTTCCCAATTCCCACAGAATGAACACAGCCATAGCTTTGAGGTCAACTACAAAGCCTTCTAATCTACATTACTTGGGCTTATAATTCCGAACATCAACATTAATTTAAACTAATGCCCACTTTAAATCTACAAAATCTCACACAAAAGCACACAATGCTTTGTTTAACTTCTCATCATCATCATCATCACCAAGACATTTATGCACAAAATCAATCAACTAAATATTTTAAAGAATGCAAAAAATGGGAATACGGAGACTTACGAGAATGTTGAGCTTGCCATTGAAGATAGAGGAGACAGAGTCCATTAGGTCCTCTCGCTGGGGCGGAGACGACACATCACAAACCGAACCCGTGACTCCAAATCCTTCATCTTCCCAATCTCCCAAACACCTCTTCAGCTCCGCTTCGTTCCGAGCACAGGTATGCACTTTCGCCCCAAGTCCCACCAGTTCCTCCACAATCGCATGCCTACATAAATGTAATTACACCAAGATTCCAATTTCAAAATTAGGGTTCTACAACAAAAACCCATTAGAGAGAGAGAGAGAGAGAGAGAGAGAGGGGGGGGACCCGATTCCGCGAGTGCCGCCGGTGACGAGAGCAGTCATTCCATGGAGGGACCATCTTCTGGTACTGGGTAGGCTTAAAATGGCGGTGGTGAATCGAAGAGAGCGATTGTTGTTTATTGAGAAATATCTATGAACAGTTTCTGAAGATCGAAGCTTGGGAGATGGATTCACTGAAGAGAGGGAAGAGGCTGCTCCGAAGAGGGTCTGAGAGTGAGACATAGGCGAAGAGTGTGACCTTTTGACTCACCTCCCCGACCTACACCCAAAATTAGGCCGAGTATTGCAATCCGTTTGGATCATATCATAAGTAAGAAAACTGAAAAATGAAAATTAAAAATTAAGTATTGAAAAATTAATGTTTAATTTTTTAAGTTAAAAAATTATTTGTTAAAAATAAATTGGTTGATATGTATAAGATTAATTTTTAAATTATATATTTTAATTTATATATTGTAATAATGATGGTAATAGTGGTGGTGATTGTATGATAGTCATAGTGGTGGTGATAGTGTTGCCAAGGTAGTGATGGTGATAGCGTTGGTAGTGGTTGTGGTGATGATAGCAATAGCCTTTGATAGTAGGTGGCAACAATAGTGATAATAGTAATAGTAGTAGTAGTAAAATGATGGTGGTACTTATGGTAGCAATGACAATAGTGATAAAGGAAGTGGTGGTGATGGTAGTGGTAGCGGTAGCGGTAGCGGTGGCATGGTGGTCGTAGCGGTAACGATGGCGGTGGTATGATGGCGGTGGTTGTGATGGTGGTGGTGATAATAAGAGTGGTAATTATAGTGAGTTTATAATAATGGATATCAATACATATGTTTAGTATTTATAAAAAAATTTGCTACATTCCCTTACTTCATCAACTCCAATTGCACTTTTAATGAAATGACAAACAATTTCGAAAGGATAGAGAAGAGTTTGAAGAAAGTTGATTGGTTGATGTTGTTTGCCACCTCATTAGAGGTTCAATTGGGAAGAGGGTGATGAAATAGGGAGATGAAGCAATTCTCTATATAAATTCAGTCAGAATTAAATAAGTTTCAGCCTCGCTTGGGAAGTTAACTATTTTAGTAGGCTAAAATTTTTGTATTTGAGAAGATTGATAATTTTTTTGTAGTTAGATGTAATGTTTGTAAGAGAAAAAGTAAAATGATTATAAGTTTAATGTGACATTTTATCTTATTGGCTATTTTAGACTATTTTGTATTTTTATGGATTTTGGCCCCCCCTCCCCCTCCCACTCCCACTCCCACTCCCAAAAAAAAGCTAAAATCCAACTTTCCAAACAGGGTCTTCATATGACTTAAATTTTTCTTAAGTTTTAGCTTATATTCTTTATAAATTCAATCAGAATTAAATAAGTTTCAGCCTCGTTTGGGAAGTTAGCTATTTTAGTTTTTGGTTAGTTTTATTTGGAAATATGGTTGAAATTTTTTGTAGTTAGATGTAATGTTTGTGAGAGAAAAAGTGAAGTGATTATGAGTTTGATATGATATTTTGTCTTATTGGCTATTTTAGACTATTTTGTCTTTTTGTAAATTTTAGCCCCAAAAAAAGCTAAAATCCAACTTGCCAAACAGGGCCTTCATATTACTTAAAATTTGCTTAAGTTTTAACCTATGTTTTAAGAGACATTTAAATTTTAAACTGATATCAATTGCGGTTATCAAACAAAATTGATAATCACTTAATACATTTAATTTTAAGTGTTGAACTAGGTTATCAAATACCCCACAGTGTCTCATTTATTAACATTTGTATTTTTTATTAGAGTATACAAATTACCTCATGTAATTTTGAAAATTATATCACATCCTTTGAAGTTTCTAATTTTATTACAAATGGTCTCTTTTATTAATAAATTATTAAGTTAATTAACAGTTTTTAATGATGTCAGAAATATATTTCTATTAATAATTTAGCTAATTTTATTATTGTATATGAGAATAATTAGAAATTTTAGTTTTTAAATTAATTTTGTTAAATAAAAAATTCTTATAAAGAGTATTTATAATTTTTTAAATTATAAAGAGCAATTTTTAAATAAATCTGGTGTATTTATAATTTACCATTTTTAAATATCATGCTTGGATAACTATGCTTGGATACACTAAGAAAATAAATTGTAAAGTAAATTACATTTTAAGTTGTTTTCAGAAATAGGTTAAAAGTTGATTTTTTAATTTTTTTTTAAAAAATGTGTAAAAAAATAGAGAGGTGATGTAATACCAAAAAGCTAAAAAAAATAAAAAAAGCCAAAGTTGCCAAAATGGTTATCTCTTTTTATATTTGATCATTTTTTTTTTACTTTGGTAATTTAAGTTTATTTTTTTCTTACTTTGACCATTCACGTTTAAAGATTTTCTCAGTTGACTTCTAAATCTAACTTTTATTTAAAATTAGATGAAAAATGCCACGTTAACTATCACATAATATAAAAAATGTATTATTATATCAAAATTTATGTTTGTGGAGGTGTAAGTTATATGTAGTAAAATATTTTTATGTCACGTGATTATCAATATGTTATTTCTATTTAATTTTAGATACAAGTTAGCTTTTGAAGTAAAATAAAAAAGTTTGAAACATAAAAAGCTAACATAAAAAAATAAACTTGAAATATCAAAGTGAAAAAATGACTAAATATAAAGAGGACACGGTGTAATTTATTCTAAATTTATAAAAGAAGGATATGAATGAGATTTTTATTTATTTTTATATTAGAAGTGGTAATATTAGTATTATAGTAAAGGAAAATTCTAATATACACATATTTAAAAAGGGTATATCATATGCATCTCTAATTATGTTATTTTTTTTTTAGTTATAACTATTTTTTTCTTTAGTTATGACTCACAAGTTATTTAGTTATACCTCATGTTATATTTAATTATGACATTTTTTTCTTTTTTAAAGTTATAATTCAAAAAATTAAAATTTTAATTATAAGGTACATATGAATCTTACCAAAAGTGGTGAGAAATGAAATAGTAATAAAAGAGTTTACTTTTTCATAATTTTTCATCATTTATCACCCATAAACATAAAAAAATAGTTTTCTTCCTCATAATGTTCTATCATTTCTCATCAAATCATCCATAAGGTTAGTGTAAATTAATGCTATACGTATACCCCATTCATCATTGAATATCGATGATTATGAATATTTAAATATTCAATAATTCTAGAAACTAGAATACTCCTCTTTTATTTCATTTTATGTTACATGTTTCTATTTGTTAGATATTAATGACATCTATGGAAAGTCCATTGTTGTATTACGGGCCAATTTGGGAACAAATGTTAAAAGTCAAATTTTAACTTTTAATTTATTTTGAATTACATATTATTTCTCTATTTTTTTTATATATTTTTTTTAAAAAAATCAAAAAATTAGGTTTGAACCAACTTTTAAAGCAACTCTACATATCTGACTTACACAAATAATAAATAAAACATGATAAATAGCTAGGTAATCATCGTGTCACGGTTGGACACCATTTTTATGTCTTTGAAGGTGTGTATCATAGTGTTATATGTTTAATTAATTTTAACACTATATTATAATATCGATTATTGGTTAGTCGCGACAGCTAACTTCTAGGTATCTGGATTGGGTCGTGACATATCTTTTATTTAAAATTTGATATATGAAAAATAATATAACAAATTATAAATACACTTGTTGAGATTTAGTTAAAATATAGTGTTAGATAATGTCTCAATGGGACCACATAATTAAATGTGGTGTTATCATTTATAAGAAGCCTACAATTTAAGTGATTCAATTTAGTTAATAGGCTTAAGGGTATATGTGTTATGGACCTAATGTGTAGATACTAGTTGTATAATTTCTATTTCTATGAGGGGCAGAAATAGAAATTAAAACATATTGGTTAAAGTTGGTTTTCATTACCTTTCAGTTTTAAAACCAATAATGATTAATTTATTGGTTTTCATTACCTTTCAATTATGAAAACCAATTACAACCTTTAAAAGGTTATGGTCCCTATTCCTTCCCAAGTTGAAAGATAAGAACACTGTTTTGTTTTTCTAAATCCTCTCAAGGAGAAACATAAGGCACATAAGGGAAAGGATTAGAAGGCTCTAACAAAGTCAATATCAAAGGTTTTATTGACAATCAGACGCTTCCGTTTAACCGTTCATCAATGGATTCAGGTATGTCATTTTGTCTTGATTTCTTGATAATACACATGGTAAATGATCCAAAGTGTAAGGTTTATGTTCTGAAATTTATGTTAACAATGGTTGTGTATTTTGGGAGAGTTGTTTTTTTGGGAGTTTGGAATGATTTGATATTTTGGGAGAATTTGAGTAGATGTGTGTGAGAGAAAAAGTGATTGGAAAGGAGAGAGGAGAGAGAAAAAGTGATTGATTGATATGTAAGTGAGAGAAAGTGATTTTGAAATTTTTTTTACAAAAACTCAAACCAAACAATTTTTTAGAAATTTTTTTCTTTAAAACTCGTCTCCCAAATGCAAACCAAACATAAATTTCCGTTTTCCCGCTCTGCTATACAGGTTATACAGAGTATACACCTCAATCTCATTCTCACTCCCCCTCACTGTCACACTCACTCCTCCTCCACCGAACCCAGCCTCACCGGCGACCACTCCCGACGGCCACCCACTCGTAAACCCAACCCACCGCTGTAGCCCTCATTTTCTCTGCTTCGCGAACCATAGCTCGACCGCGACCACCATCGGCTGTAGAGAAGGAATTTGTTGACGATAACGTGGGCTTTCAGGCCATAGATGAACCAGGTTCGTCCTCCAAACGCTGAAATAAAAAAGTTAGGGTTGTGATTCACAAAATATATTTGAAAATTACTGTTATGCAGATAGATAAATGGTATGCTTGAAAAATGCGGCACATATTGTGACGAACATTTATGCATTTACCTTTTAGAGTTAAAGTATAAATTTTGCAGAACGTAGTATGAATACGCAGAAACTGATCCAACATAAAATGAAAGGATCACATCTTTGCAGAACATAGTATGATTATGCAGATTGATAATTAGTTGAACGAATGCATATAGTTGTGTAATTTTCAATGTGTGATTGATAATGTGATTTTGCTGAATTTGTTGTCAATCACGCATGAATTGTTGTAATGAACTGCTATCAACTAATGTGTTAGCTGCGTGACTTCAATTAACTATTATCAACATTGATAACTATTATCAAACTGAACTTAAATGTTCATAACTATTACTGATTTGTTGATAAGTATTTCAGTGTGCTTTGTTGAAAATCACAT